AACAAGGGGGGGGGGGGAGGAAAAGGAAGGAAAGAGAAGGGAAGGGAAGGGAAGGGAAGGGAAGGGGAGGGAAGGGGAGGGGAGGGGAGGGGAGGGGGAGGGAGGGGAGGGGAGGGGAGGGGAGGAGAGGGAAGGGGAGGGGAGGGGAGGGAAGTGGAGAAACACACATAAAAGGGGATTTAAAAAAATTCAGAGATAGCACATTGAAATTAGTTCTTCTACTTCTTATTTAATAATTTATTTCTATTTCAAAATAATTATCAAACAAAGATCATATTCAAAATGTGCCACATGATGACTTTCTGGATGTATACATAATTTCACACATAATTATATAAATGCCAGAGCAGTAACAAAAAGCAAATTTGCAAGGTCTTCTGTCTAAAGCCACCCCTCTCTGAAATCGGAGTCCATAATGAATGGAACTGCTATCAATCAACCACATTCCAAATAGCCACATAGAACTCGTATCTTTCCGCACAACTCTAGAATGAACGTGTTGCTTCTTTCTTTCCAACAATAACTGTGTCTTTTTATCTGTCTAGCATTGAAAAAATTAACACATGGAACATGAAAGAAAAATATATGTATTCATAGATGTATATACATTTTGTAAATGTTTATATAAGTAAAATTTTGAAGAAACTATTTATAAATATATAAAGAATTCAGGGCCCGGCTCCATGGCCTAGAGATTAAAGTCCTCCCCTTGAACATGCCCTGGGATCCCATAAGGGCGTTGGTCCTACTCCGAGCCGCCCCAGTTCCCATCCAGCTCCCTGCTTGTGGCCTGGGAAAGCAGTCAAAGATGGCCCAAAACTTTGGGACCCTGCACATGTATGGGAGAACTGGAGGAAGTTTCTGGCTCCTGGCTTCGGATCGGCACAGCACTGGCCATTGCAGTCACTTGGGGAGTGAATCATCAGACAGAAGATATTTCTCTCTGTCTCTCCTCCTCTCTGTATATCTGACTTCCAATAAAAATAAATAATTTTTTAATTCATGAAAAATGCATTGAAGATAAGCTTATTTGTGTGTCATAGAATGTTTTAGATCAAGTCACAGTTTTATTTATAATGCACAATTTACCATGGTCCCTAAACTGGTTGGTAGGGGCTCAAGCACTTGGGACTACCTTCTATTACTTTCCTAGTCTTATTAGCAGGATGCTGAATCAGAAGAAGGATACTTAGGACTTGAACCAGGTCTCTGATATGGGATGCGGATATCATAGGCAGCAGTTTAACCATTTGTTGCACAATGCCTGGTCTTATGTTGCTATTTTAAAAAACTCTTCCTCCATCAGAATCCTTACAGACCATTGCCCCTCACTCCTATTGCTGCATGCATTACAGCTTCTAGCTGCCAAGCAGTCATCTCAGATGCCATGTGGTCCCTACCCTCACTTAGCAGAGCTCTGCTTGTGAGTCTAGCCTCACCACTTAAATAAGTAGCATGCAAAATAGAGATTTATTTTATATAAAAGAGATGAGTGGTTATCCCTGCAACAGGTAAAAAAAAAAATGGGGGTTTAGTGCAATATCTAAGACATGGTTTGAAACATCCCCATCCCATAAACTGATATGGGAAAATTCCAGCTCTGCTCTTAATTACAGCTTCCTGGAAAGGCAGACCCAGGGAGGCATCAGCCAACGCATCAGGAACTTGGGTCTGTCATTCATGCAGGAGTCCTGGATTAACCTTCTTTGGACTGGTGCAGTGCTTGCTACTGCTGGAATTTGACAAATAGACCAACAGACCAACAGATGATGTGCTCTCTCTCTCTCTCTCTCTGTCTCTCTCTCTTTATCTCTCCCTTTTCACTTTGCAAGTAAAAACATAACTAAAGAAAAAAATAGGGATACTTGGGAAGGCTTGTCAGAAGAGTCAAAAATTGTTGACAATTAGGAATATATTACATAACTAAAAACTACAGGGGAAGAATAAAAACATATGGAGGGAATCTGTATTCATACCACTGCTTATACAGCACAATCTTATTCCCGTAACAAGACAAACTTGTTGATGAAAGATGAAAGATTCAGTGTGGGCACAGCTCACGTTAGGATAGGTAATTTAGAACTATTGTTAACAATTCATGCCCAAGATAGTAAGAAAATACACTTTTATCTTTTATACAAGTTGGTAAACTTAATTTACTCTCATTTACATAAAGTCAAAATATGAAAAATATGGATATGAGTTAGTTTTATGATTCCCTGATTTTGCCGATTATCACTCAGTCTATTGGGACTGCATAGGATATGCAGTGTCTAATACTATAGGTCATTATGTATTTTGTTAATTCTTGTAAACTGAACAGTGAGGCTTAGAAAGAAATCTATAAAACCATACTTAAAAGTAATACAAATAAGCAAAGATGTAACTTGACAGAGTAAAGATATAAGAGGGGTTGTCAAAACCTTGTAAGTGCATTACAAAAATACTGCATGGATTTCAGAATGCATTGAACCATAATAAGCTTTGCTTTTATCTCAATTTTTTCCATGAATATGTTGAAATGCATTCATGCTATGTAAATTAGGATATTTAAAGCACTGAGATCTTCATCAGAGTAATCAGCTTCCAGGAAAGTGCAATCTACAGATTTCAAGGTCAACACTGAAAAAAAAAACATAATCCCAGTGTATTTATTTTATGCTCAAAGCAGAATGAATCTGAGGCTGATACTTCACAGATTGGATGCGAATCCAAGGGAAAGGCAGGCAAACATGATAGTCTGAGCAAAAAGCAAGGAAAACGACACACTGCTTAGGGTGGGTCAGGATTCCAAAAGCTTCGGGGAAGCAAGAGGAGGGAGGCTGGGGATGGAGAGAGGCAGACACAATGAGCAGCTGTCAGCAGAGGATACTCCATCTCACACTAGAGCCACAGGATTTAGGGAGTTTTGGGGACAGGCAATGTTTTAAGTGGAAACATTCTTGGCACTCAACAATTTGCAGTGGATTTGCCAGTTGTGAAGTGGGACTTACAGAAATTGTACAAGATTTACTCAGTCTAACCAGTCAGCCCATAGGAAAGATTTAAAGTCCCAGTGGGACTGTATTACTGCCACAAAGCTGTCTAAGCCACCCTTATGCTTCACCTGCACTTCTCTAGTTACGATGGCATCTTTTTGCTCTCCTCCCTTCCTCATGGCACATCTTCCAAATTCCTGCTGGGTCCTCTTTTGGAGAAATGTCTGCCCCTTAGGTAACTAGTCTGCTTTAGTTAGACCTTGAGTGAAGACCAAATTCCCTTGTCCAGCCCACAAAATCCTTTGAACTGTGCCTCCTCTCGGTTCTTTCCTTCTCCCTCTTGGGCCCACTCCTTTATACCAGGCCCTTGCTCACCATCTCACATCATCTAGCTTTTTGCACTAAGAAAATTCCATGACAGATCAAATGGCATCTTTGATCAGCTGCTTGCTATTAACCCTTCCTGCACCTCAATCCTCTGCTCTGTGCTATGACAGTATTTCTTTCCCACCTCTGTCAAGCCCGTTTCACACGGATCACAGCAGCTTCCTGCCCGTCCTGCATACTGTCAAGCTCTCTGCTATTGCACTGTTGATTCATGCATCAAAGGTCCCCAGGCTTCACACAGAGGCTCCATTTAGCAAGTGTGCAACACAGGAATAGCCCTTGTGAATGAAATAATAATGTCAGAATAGAAAAAAAAAACTATCTAAAGCCAACATTGATGGATGACTTGTGATATAGCAGGAACTAGGATAGGAACCTGATATGTTTTATACAAGTTAATAATTAAGCAAACCTGAGGTGCACTTCTTTCTCATTTTCTGGCTATTCTGAGGTTCAAAGTGGTTTAGTACCTGCCATAGGCCCTACCTGGGAAGAGATCATGGGATGAAGATTTGAATCCATTTTATATGAATCCCAAATTCATGTCCTTTCCAATAGAAACTTTTTTGAACTTGCATGATATTAGTGTTTTTAATTACTACATTATACACTATCACAGATGTTTTAAAGTCTTATTTATTCATTTGAAAAATGGAGTGATAGGGCAAGACAGAGATGGGAAAGAAAAGCTGATCCACAGATGAGAGAAAATCTTCAATCCAAGGGCCACAGCAGGCCGCAGGGCATTGGGCATGGACCAAGCCAGGAGCCAGGGACTCCCTCCATATCTCCCCCATGCATCTGCTGTTGCCATCCCAGCCACTTCAGCCGGAAGCTGAATTAGTGGCAGAACAACCAAGACAACAACCAAGACCCAAACTGGCCCTTTGATATGGGAAGCTTATATCACAAGCAGCAGTTTAATCTACTTTATCACAATAATAGCCCCAATTCCAGTTTTATATTCCACAGAGATATGGACAAACTGTCACGGAATTAAAGTACTTACAGTTTTACAAGAAAAAGTGGGCTAGTTTTGCAATAGGCTCCATCATTTACAAATAATTTTAACCTTCTTGGAAAGATGCCATGGCACTGAATCTAATAGTCCATACGATGTTTGCCCTCTATATTTAAGCTACTGCAGGAAAAAAGATGATGAGATATTCTAAGATACAAAAAACAGCTGGAGCTTAGATACATGAAAAATAATGTTGGTCATCCCCTAAAAGCTATTAAAGACACAGTGAAAAGACTCCAGCTTGTTTTCCAATGACAAACCTGGAACTCTGTGTTCTTTTGACATGGATATTTGTACGTAAATTCATTTTTACTATTTTGTTCCAGCTAAGGAAGCCTGTACAATGGACCAGCTCATTAGGACCATGCATCATATCGGCACAAAGGCCTTGTGGGAATAATGGAAGATGAGAAGGGGAAGGCAAGTTAACCAGACGCAACAATATTATAGCATTTACAAGACGGAAATGTCAGCCTCTTAGAACCCCTATCTTAATAACAAGGTTTCCAGACCCCAATTCATAAGAAAGTGGATTCTGTCCATGCAAAATATCCTTCAACACTTAAGCCCCTCACAGGAAATGGTTTGAAACCAGACTTCATATGCACACTTACTTTTTCAGTTTCCGTCGAATCTCTGGGTCTTTAATTTCATACTGAAGATCCTGAAAAGTCTCCACAGAAGTCAAGTCGCAGAAAACTCTGAAATCACCATAGGGTGGGATGCCATGGTCACGGCCCCTTTGGATGTTGGTGGCAGCCAGATCCAGGGCCACAGCGTGCTCAGCAGCAAAGAGCCTCTCGGTGAGCTCCAGGCTGAGCGACCTAGAGGGCTCCCGGGCCTTCGCAGAGGCCCCGAACAGGCCTCGGAGCAGGGGGTCGATCCTACCCTCCTTTAGGATTCGGGAAGGAGTGAAGAACGCTATGTGCAGTGGCAAGTGGCCTTTGGGAATCTCTCCAAATGTGTCGTTTAGCCGAAACAGAAGGGGGTTGATCAACGTGTGGCCAAACCAAAAGGCTGCTGTGGCAAAGGCATTGAAGATGCCTGCGTTCACGTTGGGGTCATAACCACGGTACTTCCGTAGCAGTCGCATGCCAGGGTACCCCAGGACCGTGGGCAGCCAGTGCTGATAGGTAATGTGTTGCAGCTCAGCGCCCACTACCTTCCTGGCCTCTTGGTACACAGCGTCCCCATTCCAGTGCAGGTTAAGCATAGACAGCTCCATGGCCACCCGGTTGTGGTCACGGAGCCCAAGGGTGTGCATCGCTGTAAGCGCCAGTTGCTGGTTGGCGCGGTAGTCGCCAGCCAGGAAGCAGAGGCTGATTTGGTCCTGATCACCGGTGGTGCACTCTATCGGGAGTCCGTGGCAAAAGGGAGCAGGTGCTTTCCAGAGGGAACCCACCGTAGGCCAATTCTCAGCAGTCCCCCAGGCCTGGAGTGGTCTCTGAGAAGTTGGGATTCCTGTTCCAAGCTCCCGTAGATGTTAGAAGCGTCTATGTAGGCTGTAAGCTGGTTGATCTGGTCCCGGGCATACAATGAGTTCATCATCAGGGAGGCATGCCGCTGCCACATGCTGGGCTGGAGCGCAAAAAGAACATGCAGGCTACTCGATCAGCCCTAGGATTGTCTTTTGGAAAGGCAATAGGGAGGCACGGAGGTCTTCCCGTGGGAGAAGCGCGAGGTGCTCAGTGCTGGCACAGCATGGTCCAAATCGTGGTCTAGAAACTGGCCTGACTGCGTGAACATATGCGTGTACCTGTTGTTGAGGCTTACGGTCAGTGTGCCTGCCAGCTCGGTGGACACCAGACTGGCCGGCGGGAGTGGACAGCGGCCTGAGCTCCGGTGGCCCCCAGCACCACGCAGTGAGTCCAGACCATTCTCATATGCAGCAGCGCACGAAGGCTGTGCGCTGCACCCCACTCAGGCCTCCAAAAGTTGTTGCATGTGCGGTCTGCAGTTCGGTACTTGAGGTGGAAGCACGTGTCAGAGCAATTGGGTCGACGCCTGTGGGCTGTGCATCCTGATAGACTGGCGATGAGGTTGGGGTAGTACGGGGACACCAGGTCATTGCAGCAGAATTCTGAAACATGGAGCGCAACAGCAGTGAGGAAGCTGTTCCAGGAACAGCTCTCCCTGATGTGCAAGTCCTATGAAAATAGTCTACAAAGCCTGTGAAAATAGCCTAACCTTGAATACATCAGAGCTGTGAATAATCAGAAGATTTTGTAGATGGATAAAGACAGTTCAATGGCTCATCTTGCCGAACGAACTCCACACCCTCTTCTCTGTGGCTGGCTGGAATTCTCCCAGTTACATCTTGGTATTATAGCAATCCAAAACTTACCTCATTATCATGTTAAACCTTCATTCTTAAGGAATCTTGGAAATCAGGTACCATCCATAAGACCTGCATGCTCGCATAGGTAATATGCATCCATGCCCCTATTTGCATATGCATAACCTTCCCAGGACTTCCCAGAAGCCTAATGAACACATATGATTGCCCTAAAAGCAAACCACATAAAACTTGTCATTTGTCATTACTTGCATAGTCTGATATTTTTAACTTGAGCATTACCTTGCTCTTGACTTGTGCCACTCCAATGAACTCTTTTCTGCTCACAGCTTAAATGATTTTCTCTGTAATTCCACTGACATACACACTAGACAAGAACTTTTGGGTAATCTGGCTAATTACTCTCCCAATAGCATTCCATTAATTCGTGATGACACACTCTAACACAAAGGTGGGGAATGGTTAGATTAGAAGTCCTTTTGAAAAAAAATTGAAAACAGTTATGTACAGATTTGACAATTTTGCACTAAGAGTAAGGATCACTTAATTGAATTTTTCAAGAAAAAATTTAAGGTACTCTCAAAATCATGGAAACATTAAACCACAGTTCCAAAAGACAGTATATTCAAACTAATAATGTGTAACCTTAGGGGCTGTGGCTAATGGCTGGAATTAACAAGATAGAACAAAAAACATGTGCCAGGATCCTTCTAACTAGAAACATCATGTAATATTGGTAGAGATTTTTAAAACTCCTATGGGACTGTCTTGTTGCTATTGTTTTTTAATGGTGTTCTTGTTTCAGAAATTTTGTGGATTTTGTCATCCCACAGGACCAGATCAAGCATGTGTCAATGCAACTTATGTGAATATTAACCTACACCTAACTAGACAAGGTGGGATTAAACAGTACTTTTCAACCTTATTACAAACTGTTATGCCAGGCAACACAATGCAGGAAGCGCTTCAACATTTAATGGTGCTCAAAACTCCCTGCATTTCCTCCCAATACTGCAGAGACAATTCACTAAGTGATGCATATGATCATCAGAATTGGCCAATCACAACAGGACCATCTGTCCTGTGACCATGTCTAGATCTTTGGGTATCTTAATCTTGAGTATTCAAGCATATTTCTGTATGCCAGGAGAAAAGCATCTTTAATTTTACAGATACGTAAAAATGCACAGCATTTTTCCCTTGAGAAAAAAAATAGTTAATGCTCTTGTACCCTTCAGGTGAGAAGATACATTGAGTTTGATAATGAACCTTAAGAATAACTCAAAGTCTCTGTAGATAATTATTGTTTTATATTTTCTATTTGACATAAGATTAAGTTATTTCTGAAAATCATCTATTCTCACAGAGTTATATGAGTAAAGCACAAAAGATGATCAGATAGATCTATACATCGCTTTAACTAGAAGTGAAGGAAGCAGTGGGAAGACGGGCCCACGACTAACTTAACGTCTGGCAGGATTCAACATCAAGTATCCAGAAGTTAAATTGAAGTGCCAACATGGGCTAACATGAAAGTATCCCTGGATATTTTTATTCAAAGGCATTTTGAAAACTGAATACATAATGGAAAACAAGCGATTGTCAGATTGCTTTGAAATCATTGCACACAAGAGATAAGGATTGGGTCAAGCATGCAGATAGATTTCCCATCCAATTGTTGAGTTTATTTCCTGAATAAATAAAACAATAAAGAAAGGGCAAGTCTACAAAATTTATTCCACTCACAAGGCAGATAGTACACAACAAAGAACCACAGTCCTTCTTTTCATCTTGAAAAGAAAGACTGAGAAAATCTGTACACTACGTGTATTGTCTCAGTTGACATTTACCAAGCAGATGTCTGATTTTGGAAAAAGATGCACCAGAACCTGCTCAGAGTGAGGAGGAATGTCAGTGCTGTACGCTGTGGAAGAAGGTTCAAGTACATTCACCGAATGACCTGAATGATCCCAAAGATAGATGCAAATATATTCCTACAGAGATGAAATCCATCTCTACAGGCGGTAGTAATATCTTTTGAATTAGACAAATTCACATAAAATAGGTCCTGCTAATTTGTTCAATGATCCTATAACTGGCAAAAGTTGAAGCAAGTTTGAATATGCATTTATAATTTCTACATTTGAATGTGTTCCCCTGGAAGACGTCTGCATTTTTTTGGTAAGATTGTAATTAGTTAGTAAGTAACATGGCATTCTGGAGGAAAAAAAGAAACAGTTCAGCAGTGCTAGGGAAAGCAGGCTTAGCTCAGAAGCGTCCTGGCTGACCTCTGCCTTCCAGATCCACACTGAGCCCTTGCCTCACATGGTCCTGGATCAGCTACAGCATCTGCTCAAAAATTTCCCCTGCTCTCACCATCTCCACGTTATACGGGTCACGTGGATACCGAAACTGGATCAGTAGGTCACTAGCGGTGTGAGGTTTTCTGCAAATGACAATAGACATGAATCTTTGCAAATCAATACTTCAGAATCCATAAAGCTTACCTGTGTGGCACCTTTAAGAAGCTTTTGCCAATTGTTCCAGGAGCCAATCTCTAGAATGTAAGCTCCACACCAAAATAGTGGGTTCCTTCCCAGGTTGTTACCAGGTGCATGCTAAAAGCCAATCACAGTGTTAAACTCCAGAAGTATGTTTTTAATGAATTAATGATATGCACCAAAATTTTCTAGAACAAACAGTATCTATGCAGGGTTTATAAGCTTCATGGACTTTAGGGACAAAAACTCTATTTGCAGGTGCCAGCATTTTCTATCTGCCTTTTCCAGGAATGGGACTACCTAGAAATTCTCCTCCTTGTGACATCTGAATTCTCGGTGCACAGCCTCCTGAGAGCTTCAACAAGGCATCAGTCCATTTTCTCACCACCTCTGTGTCTTTATATGGTTAAATGCCCAACTTTACCTTGTCTATAGTATTTTCTTCTTTCTATCAAAGAAATTCATAATGCAGATTTGTTGTTATTCCAAGTTTATAGACAAAAAGCCCAAGATACAAATATGTTGGATCCCTTGTCTAATATAAAGACAGCAAGTAACTTGGAAAATATTCACAATAAGTATACAGATAGACTATGTGACTCTGAAACCCAGGTTCATGACCACCAGGCTATGCTTTTAACAGATGGGTAGCAAGTGAAACAATACTTAATTTTAAGAATATTTTTGACAAGAAGTGGAATATGGGATATATACATTCATTCGGTTATGAAAACAATCATCTGTTAATATATGTACATTAGTTTTGTAAATGTAAAAAAGTGTGTACTAATTTGAAGGAAACTCAAATCTGAAGATTGAAGATTGTACTAACTTGAAGATTGCACTAACTTGAGGGAATCTCAAAGCTAATTAAAATAAAGCAAAATACAACTGATTTTAAACAACTCATTAACCTGTAGGATACCCATGTATGTCAAATATATGGTCATGATTTTCAATTTACAGACTCAGCAGGAGCTACAAGTCTTTCATTGTTTGGTGGATCCTAATGTAAAACCACCCCATTGCCTGACACCTACTTTTGAACTGTTTGGAATAGATCCATGCCAGTGATTAGGGTCTATGAGGGAAAATGTTTCTTCCTTGTGAGGCTAGACTGACAGTGAGGCTACATGGTACACAAGGCATGTACACAAGGACTAGACCGCATACTCTTGGGGTGGGAGATAGGCCAACTAGTTAAGACATCAATTTGGAAGTCCATATCTCATTCAGAGTATCTGGATTCAATTTTAGCTTTGCTCCCAATTCCAGCTTACTGCTATTTTGCTAATTTCCACCTACTGGGAGGCAGTAGGTGATAGCTGAAGTTATTGAATTCTTCCCACCCACATGCAAGACCTATATTGATTTGTGGGGATACTGGATTCAGACTGACCCATTACTAGCTATTGAAGGCTTCCATTATCAGCTGTTTGTGGCTTTGAACAAGTAAATAAGAAAATGGGAGCTTGATCTCTGCTTCTCTGCTGTCATATACGTAAAGAGATAAGACAACTTTTCACAATTTTATGCATTTTACCTGTTGTGATTTACACAGATGATAAAAACAAAGTTGAGCATAAATGAAAATAATCTATCAATCAAAATAAGATAGATTCTTACTGTGCAAATATTTTCTTGTAGAATTAATTGCACCGTCGACCCTCTGTACAGCATCAAGAATAGATGATTCCACAAAGTCATCGCCAGCTTGTTTACCCTGTGTTGCTTTGAAAATCAATTCCATGATTAAAAATATCAAACGGACCTTGAAGTTAGAAATTATATGCTATAAATGGCATTATATTTTTAAAATGAAAACTTTTAAGCCAATAAAAATGTTATACAATTTCTAAATGATTATGTCCATTTCAGAGAAGTAGGTAATTATCCCAAAGCAAAGCTTCCACTGGCAACAGCAATGTTATTTAAAGAATGAAAGAATTCAGAAAACTAGCAAAGCCATGTGAAATATTTCCCATTTTACAGCACCAATTCAAATGGGATCCCAGTTTGTTAGCAATTTATCATCTTGGGGAAAGTATGAAACGCCTATCTCTACAGCCACCTTGCTTTAATGTTAAACACTAAAACAAAGTAAATTTTATCACATTCCTCAGAGGTTTCCGGAAGCAAGACATGAACTCTCAGTAAAACTTCAGTGAAAAATAATCTATACTGTTTCTATAGCTGTTCAACATGTCAGATTTCTGCAAAGTTGGATTATCGTAGACAATTGAAGCTATTCACTTAAACTAGATTTGATTAGGTCCAGCACAGCGAACGTCCTCCATTTGACAGTTTATGGTTAACCCTGACACAAATGCAAAAAAAAAAGGGGGGGGGTATTATGAATAAAGATTTAAAAGCTTGTATAAGAAAAATTATCAAGTAAATCTACAGTATTTTATTCATTTTTCAGAAAAGAATTTTTAAAATGTGTGACATTTAAAATAGAAACTTCTAAGTACTTTGTAAGTATCGGAAGGGAAAGTAAAGCCAGCTTCAAAATTGGAGTTTGAAAAAAAAATGTCTTCTAGGGAAAATGAGAGCTGAAAATCTACAGAATCCTAGGAAGCTATGTGCTTTACACATTATGAAAAAGAAACGCTGGGTCGGCACTGGGAACAGCAGTTGAAACATTTCTTGGGATGCATGCAACCCAGATTAGCACGCCTAGGTTCAAATCTCAGTCCTCCTTCAGATCCCGGCTTCCTGTTCCTCAACACTGTGAGAGGCAGCAGATGACAGGGCAAGAACTTCACCTGCCGTCACCCACGGAAGAGCTCTGCGCTGAGCCCCTGGCTGTGATCCACCCCAGTGCAGTGACTGCAGGCCTGCAGGGAGGCAACCAGTGGATGGAAAATGTCTCTCTGTCTCCCCCTCTGTCTCTCCTTTGTCTCCCTGCTACTCAAATGAAACAAAAACAAGTAACTATTTGAGTTGAAAAACAAAAAAAAAAAAAAAAAAAGAAAAGGAAAGCTTTAGGACAAGAACTGAGAGGGACAATGGAGTATGAAAGTATCACAGAAGGCAAGTAGAAACAAAGATAAGTTGATTTCTGTGCAGAAAGAATATGGCAAGTGATTTAATGATCTTCACAAAGTTTAAAGAAAACATGTGTTGAGAGAATTTGAGAGAATTTAAATGGATTTCAAACATTTTTCCACTAATATAAATATATTTCAATTCTATTTTGTTGCAAACTTTTGAAGTGTATTTTATACATAAAATACAGGGAAGTGTCACTTAACATGCTAATCTGACTTTCATTTATTGGCAGTTTTATTTTTAACATATTTATAACATAGCCTTGCTGTTGCGTTCTTTGTAAGACTAACAGGAAAGGTGGCATGTTCAGAACAGCTTTGGGCTTCTCAGGCGCACACTGCAGTCATCAGCACTGTTAGTGTGGCAGTTGGCTCAAAAACCACCTGTTTAAATTATCAGAATCGGTGATCAGAAAATTAGGAGCATATTTCCCATCTTTCTGTGCAAAATTCTGCAAAGGAACAGGAGAAATAGATCATTGTCCCTGGTTAAGTTTCACTGTTAATATTAGAAAAACAATGACCTTGGGAGATTTACAATAAGCACATGCAAAGGGATGTTGGTGGAGGCTCAGACTGTAACATAAACGGCAAAACCACCACCTTCAGTCCAGGTGTAAGACACAGCTGCAAGTTCATGTTCCAACTACTCCACTTCCGATCCAGCTCTCTCCAATAGAGAGTAAAAACAGGTCAAGTGTGTGGACCCCTGCCACCACGTGGGACCTGGGTGAAGCTCCTGGTTGCTGGCCTGGCCTAGTGCAAGACATGACAGCCCCGTGAGGAATGAACCAATAGATAGAAGATCTCTCTCTCTTGCTTGCTCTTGCTCTCTATCTCTTTCTTTCTCTTTCCCTCTGTTTCTATAAATCTTTCAAGTAAGTAAATAAATGCATTTAAAAAAGAATTCTGTGGCAACTATCTGCCTTCAATCCCAACCATGTTTCTATGCGACTCTGCCTTTCCCACAGAAGTAAAACAATGAAGGTGAAACCGCAGGCAAGGGCAGGTTGGCCCTGCAATTGTCCCTGGCTCCGTATACGCACGTCCCGGGCCTGGCTGTGATCATGAGTGCCCTGAGGAGGGACAGGAATATTGGCTTGGCGATACTGTCACCTTCTTTGCAAAACACCTGCACCTCCACAAACACATACTTTCTTACAATTAACAACAGGATTTTGAAATTTTTATTTCATTTTGTAGGAAAACTTAGCAAGATGAAGTGCCTATCATAACTAAACAAGCCTTATCATATTCAATCTTCCCCTTAAAGGGTAACACCAGTGCTGACAGTGCAAGGCTTGTCCTCGGAAACCAGACTCACTTCTCCAGCATACGAACTGACAGTAATGGCTGTTTTTGGGAAATCAGTTTCTCTCAACAGCAATGAATCTGTCAGACTCTTCATTCTGCATCATTAAACAAATAAAGGCTCTCCCTGTCATGCTGAGAGCATCGAAAGGGAGCAGTGCCATCTACATAGCTTTTAAGGGTTTTGGTGTTTAAACTTATGCTATTTTGATTATATATTTTCCTTATAATTTCTAAATAGTCCAAACACTCGATCAAAAATCTGGGGGGAGGGAGCTCTTTTCTGACACAGAAAATGATTCCTAATATTTGGAGAGCACCTGGCATTATTCAGGATAAAAGTAAGTGTTCGGGCCCGCCCGGCGCAATAGGGTAGTGGGTTAAGGGCCTCACCTTCAACACACCAAGATCCCATATTGGTGCTGGTTCTAATCCCGGCAACCCTGCTTCCCATCCAGCTCCCTGCTTGTGGCCTGGGAAAGCAGTCAAGGATGGCCCAAAGCTTTGGGACCCTGCATCCTGGTGGAAGACCTGGTAGGTTTCCTGGCTCTTGGCTTCGGATCAGCTCAGCTCCAGCCATTGCAGCCACTTGCGGAGTGAACCATTGGACAGAAGATATTTCTTTCTGTCTCTCCTCCTCTCTGTATATATGACTTTCCAATAAAAATAAATAAATCTTTTTAAAAAAAGGTAAGTGTTCATTGTAGACTTTGACTATAAAATGAGAGAGGATATATTCAATACGGTCAAATGTGTAAGATGCTTATTCCTACAAACTAGATAGATACTGTTGCTCAGAGAAATAAAATTATTTTCTCATTCATTATATTATTAAATCGTGGCCAAGTGAACACTATTGACAGGTTATCTATTAACTAATACATAATTTAACAATACCATGTTTAGTTCATTAGCAAATAGAGTAAAATTAAAAATGGAGTAAAATTACAACTTAAGCAATTACTGGGATAATCTCATATCGGAACACTTACGTTCAATTCCCATTTCTAGCTCCTGGTCCTCGCCTCTTGCTAACACAGACTGTAGAGAGCAAGACAGGTGGTTGGGTTTCCATAACCCACTGGTGGTCAGTGGGTCAAATTTCCAGTTCTGGTGCAGGCCTGGCCATGGCAAGTACTTGGGGAAATGAATTGAAAGATGAGGTCTCTACCAGTCTCTGTGTGTATGTCGCCTCTGACAAATACAGTAAATGAAAACAATTTAGTTTTCAGTTTCATTCCATTGCAGGTTTAAGCAAAGATAATTGATTCAAAATGTTTGGCACCATTCTAAATTAGTCCATTGAGAATGGCACAACGATCCCAGTAGTCTAGCAACAGATAACCTAAAAATACAAATTAAAAAAAAAATTAAAATGTCAGCTAGTCAGTGAATTATTTACTCATAAATTCAAAAAATGACTAGAAGCTATAAAAATGAATATGCTAATTGATATACAACTAGAGAATTTGGAACACTCAAGAATATTGACTTATTTTTATTAGTCAATATTTATGTAAATTTGAGGCTACTTAATTAGCTCATAGTAAAGAGCCTACTAACTTAAAGGCAGCTAATGCAATCACGAATTCTCATTCCATCCACTTCAAAAATAATATACTCGGTTGAGGATACATTGAAGTGGAAGTATCTTAAGCCAGCCCATAACCCTAAAAGTTATTGCAAATGCTGAATTAAAATGGATCAGAGGATGAACAGTAGAAGCAGGAGACTGGGGCACAAGGCAGCGCTTGGGAGGAACCCTGGAGATGCAAGAGTGAGCAGGCAGGAAGGCAGAAGAAACCAGCAGGAGTCCAGGATTCCCGCTTGCACTCTGCTGATGGCATTAAAGGGATGCTGGGGGATACAAGGACTTGTAGAGAGGACAAGGAGTTCATTTCATTAATGTGTGTGTGTGTGTGTGTGTGTGTGTGTGTGTGTGTGTGTGTGTGTGTTTAAAGGCAGCGTGAGAGATAAAGAGAAAGAGATCTTCAACCTTCTGATTTGCTCCACAACAGCAAGGGACAGCAAGCGCTGGTTCATGCCAGGGTCAGAGGCCAGAGACCCCATATGGGTCTCTGAAGTGAGTGCCAGGAGCCCAACTACCTGGATCACTTCCTCTGCTTTACCGAGTAGATTAACAAGAAGTGACAGTAGAATTGGAGCAAGCAGGACTTGAACCCATATGAATGTCAGAGTCACAGTGCTGGCTATGAGTTCATTTCACAGTGTGCTCAGCATTTCTTACACACAGTTTGAAGGACTGCCAAATGAAATGTACACCAGACATGAAAAAACCCAGAATCACTGCTTAGCTTTAAATTAATTACTGTGTCACTTAGAAACAGCATGCTCGTGATTATTGTGCTTCAGATTTGTCATTTAATAAATTTTGTGCTGCCTTCACACTTTTTATCTTGTCTATATATTAAAAATCCCAAGTGGCGAAATGTGCATCAAGTAGCAGAAGGTGTATAGTCTGATGTTAGAATGTCTGCATCACACCTTGGAATATACCGCGTGATCCCTGGTCCTGCCTCCTGATTGATTTCTGCTTCCTGCTGACATGAACCCTAGGAGGCACCAATGATGGCTTAAGTAGTCAGGTTCCAGCCACTTCTACAAGAAATCTGGATTGAACTTCTTAGCCTGTCGTCTGCCCCCTCGCTGTGCTCAACACTCAGGAAGTGAACCAGCAGTTGGGAGAGCTCGTTCCCTCTTCCTCCACCCCACTTCCCTGTCTCTTTCTCTCATTTTCTCTCATCATGTCTCTACTGCTCTAGCTTTTAGTGTGTGTGTGTGTGTGTGTGTGTGTGTGTGTGTGTGTGTGTGTGTGTGTGTGTTTGCCTCCAAAATATTTAGGTAAAAAGAAATGTTTATATCCTCCCAGACAGATGTGTCATAAATGTTTCCTCACTACCCATGGTAGTACAATAGGATTCTACCAGAGAAACAGACATTACACACCAAGAGGAACTTATGAGAGTGCCCACCTCCACGTTAGTAAGAAAAATAAGGAATTAGATCTGTTTATAAGTTAATGAATTATACAAAGTGTTTCATATCAGAATAGTCTGACGAATTAACCAAAGTTCTCCACCTAACTATCTCACACTTCTAATGTTTAAGATAGATATCTTACTTGCTCGGTTAAACCAAACCATTTCACAAGCAAAAAACAGTTGTACTTCACAATATTTCATAGTATGTCAACAAATGAAGGAGGTATTAAAGCAAATCATTCTTGAACAAGAAGCAAACTTTCAATATAATATAAAATTAAAGGTGCAAAATTCAGATGATACATATTACCTAGAAAGAAAGAAATACAAGATATAAATGTTTTCTGTCAATATGAAATACATTAAAGACGTTAAATATTAGGTTTGGTTTCCAATAAAGCTTCAAGGTATTCAAACTATTTAAAAGGTATTAAATCTAAGAAAACAAAGAGCTTATTGAATAAATTACAACCATAGAAACACTTTTTTCTTTTGGTGTCATAAAAGATCTTCATGAACTATCAGGTAATGAAGCACATCTTTTATAAAGCAAGTGTAGTTGTATCATTACATAACTGAACTGGAAGCCACAAGAAGGAACAGTTCCCTACACACATGGACTTGATTGATAAATAAATGCCCCACGCTAAATAAGGTGGAGAAGGACAAGATTCTTGGTTCACTAACTTACGGTTTGTTGCATTACAAAATCTCCATAGATTGATTTTGTGTTTTTTATACAAGAAACAGAATACTATACTCGCTACTCCTTGAAAATCTAGTATATTCACATATTTTCATCTGAATTTTCCTTTAAACATGCTACATAAAATGATAATTATATTATTTCCGTTAGCTAAGTGAATGGGGTTTAGATTTTTTTCTGTGACAATGGTGTTTTTGTGCGTATGAAAGAGCAAAACAGGAAAGAAAGATTTGTTCAATGATATGGATTTCTGGAACTTTTAAAATATAGTGATTAAATTTTACAATAACATTTTTTCAAGATGTTTCAAGAATATTTTTTTCACAGGTCTCATAAATTGTTGAAGAGCAGGAAGAGAGCCCATAAATTTATAAAAAGGAGCTCAACTACCATAGATTTTAAATCAGCAAGGCAGCCACTCACAGAGAATAAATAACAGAATGTGACTCAGATTTTTGTAGCATCAGGAAATTCTATATAATGAAGAATTTCTAACTATTAGAATAAATATTTGCTAGTTACTAAATGACACTATTAGAAAATTAAGAGTACATATATGGAGAATATATTTTCCACCATAAAGTGCATAACTGGATGAAGGCTGACACATCACAACTGGAAATACACATTCGTTCAAAAATATTCATACACAAGAAAGTTATAAGTTTGATATTTCAGAAGAATATGCAATGGGGAGAGCATGAAACTATTGATACGATAGGAAAGTGGAACTATCATTAAGGGTATGATTTAATAAGCAAAATATTCATCATTGATGTGTTACTCAATTTCTTTTGTAGATTTCAATAGCTGGAAAAATAAAGAAAAAAATAAATTTACAAAATTTTATTTATGAAATCGTCCTGTGTCCATGGAGACTTGAAAGACAGGCAAAGCCCAGGGCAGCACTACAACGCTCTTAGCTAAGTGTATTTATCTTAACTGCTAGCAGAAAAAACCTTCAAAACCCTGGGGCTGGCACTGTAGCACTGCTAAGCCACTACTGGCAATATGGGCATCCCATATGGGGCTGCAGCTTCTTCTCTCTCTTTTTTTTAAAGTATTAAAATATAAATAGAAAAAATTTCATGTACTTCAAAGCTATAATTCTAATAAGATAGCCATATTTCCCTCTCTTTCAATACCCTCTCTTTCCTTTCCCTCTCCTTTCAATTTTTGCTTTCACATAATTTAAAGTTACTTGATAGATACATGCTTACCACAGCTTTGAGTCTCAACTACTGCGTATGCAGCTAATATCCTGCTAATACACCTGGTAGGGCAACAGGTAAGCCACCTGGAGGTCTGGTCTCCTCATTTCTAGCTGGCCCAGCTCTTCCTAGTGCAGCTAGTGAGCAGTGGACCAGTAGACGTAGGCCTCTCCTTCTGTCAGTCTGCCTTTCATATATACATTTTTTTAAAATCTAAATTCCTGTGCAAAGAGGCAAAAATAGCTCTGACATCAGCCCCCACAGGCAGCACATTGCGTGTTACCTGAGTGAATCTCCTAAAGAAAGTGGAGCAGGCTCCAACACAACCTGTTTTAGAGGCCTGCAAAAGTTTATCGAAAAAAAAACATACTATTTAAAAAAAAAAAAACTACACATGAATTTCAAAAATTTGCTCTCACCATTTTTACTTTTTTTAAACTACCATTTGCTTTGAATAGACTCACTGAATGGAAAGTTCAGTGTAAACCAGTCTTCTACAGGTGGCCTGCCTTAATTCCAATATAAATTAAATAACTGAAAAACAGATTTTTTTAAAGCAAAACTATGGCTAAAAATTTTTCAAATTCACTGTATAGAATCAATCCACAGAGTTTGAGTTATGTAACCAGGTCTAGATAAAAGGCACAAAGCAGTGACAATAATGTAGCAGCTACAACTTCTTCCAGATATTGAATTTTTTATGCCTTAAAAGCAGCTGAATACATCTCATAAGGTATATTTTTCAATTTCTAAGAAAACATAATATACATTTAAAATGTGGCTTGTATCTGGGGCTGACATTAATTTTGCCTTCATGCGCACTAATGTAGCTTATATTTAAGAGCTTAGATTTTAAATAATAAAATAGCTTTCATTCAGTATGAACACATTTAACTAGAATGAATAAATAAGAGAACATGAGCAGTGAGTTTAATCAGCCAAGATACAGAAGTAAAATCTGTTCAAAGACATGCCTTTGCATGTTGTAAAAGAATCTATAATTACCCACCAGAGACTCTAAGAGACATACTGGCTGCAACAAGACCAAATGAATTCTGAGCCACAGATTCCTGCCTTCCTTGGTCAGCTTGTCCCACATCATAAACGGTGAGTGTGCCTCCACTGTCAACATGGAACTTACCACTCTCTGTGATCTGTACACCTGCCTAGAAAGTGAAAGAGGGTTGTCATTTAAAGAAAGAAAGCTAACTAGAAGAATACGGTATTTGCAATTTTTTTCCATTTCGTTTCCTTTGTTCCACTTTGTAGCATCAGCAAAACATTTTCACAAATTATTTCTGCCTCTCTTCCCCTCCACACTTAAATGTCATAGCCCTCTGGCTACACTTACAGCTCGGTATTTGCTGTTGAGAGTCTGGAACAATCAGATAAAATTCTCCATAGACATTATCTCTGTTTACATAGGGTGGAATTGATTGCTTGTAGGGAGGTATCCAGAGCCATAACCTTTCCCAAATTGTGAATGGGAGTTGCTTGCTATGAAGTTGAGGATGGTAATGCATGTAAAATATCTGTTGTAAGAGTATTCAGCATCCTATCAATAGGTGGTTTGATGCCACCTTTTGGAAACCGCACTCTCAGATATTTTGCTGAAAATGGCTACAAGCTGATGTTGTTACTGAAATTCTGAGGGAGCGACATTACGGCATGGGCGGTTAAGCCCCCGACTGCGTTAGGGCCTGTTTTCGGTCCACCTCCTCACTAGTGCTCCTGGGAAAGTGGCAGGAGCTAGCTTATACCACTCACGTGGGAGATCTGAGTGTAGTTCTAGATTCCTGGCTCGTTGCTGGTCCCACCCTAGCCTTCGCATCCACCTGAGAAGTTAAAAATAGCAGAGGAAAAATAAAACTCTGTGTCCGTATTTCTCCTCTCTTTGTAAGTCGTGTGAAAGGATGAAAGGGTATTTGAACGAATAAATAAAATAACCCTTAAAAATAAAGAACAGTAACTTTAAAATGTGTACTTTAAAAAGGTGTACTTGTCAAATTTCCTTTTTAATATAAATGTACAATGTTAAGTAAACAAAGGTTTGGCTGAAAATATTCAGACTATGTTGGAGGGCACGAGCTTTAAGGCTCAAGTTTGGCAACCCCTGGTTTAAATTTATTTTTTACAGAGATTTGAAAAAAGAAGCAAGCCCACAACAGTGCAAGGCCCTGGTGCTATGCAGTAACAGCAACAGTGAGACAACAGTTTCAAGAAACTAGTTGGAAATTCCTCACCAATGTTGTTGTTTATCATATTTCTCCAGAAAATACCCTTCAGTGACGTTGTGATAGAATGTGAGATCAACAATTTCATGTTCTTGAAAGCCTAGGCTCAATGAACCTAAAGAAGAAAGTTGCATAAATAAAAAGATACTGTTTCGTTAAAGCCATTCAGGTTTTAAACTTTGAAGTATTTTTCCTTTCCATGCCCCTTTATTATCAAGCTTTTCATTTCTGCCTGATTTCAGCTAATGAGCTACTTTTAATCTACCTCTTAGTTATTAATCTAGAGTGGCTTCTCACTAGCCACTGAAGCTTTTAATTTATATATGATAGCAGCAATTTTCCCTTTAGGAATTTGGGCCTATCAAGTTGTTTTTTATTATTATTATTATCATTATCAAGCACACGACAAAAGCTAAACATTACCAAACCCTTGAGTGCAAATCAGAAGCAGTCACTTTAAAAGAAAAAGTAAAGAGCAAAAAATAAACACGCCACAGTATTAAGAAGTCTTACTTGCAAGTGAAAATCATAGCAATAAATCAACGTGCGAATCATTAACTTCCTTTCAGGGGGTCAATACATCTGCCAGTGTTCTCACCGCTACTGTACTTGCACCTGACATCTTACCTTGTTCCATGTAATTATGGGCTGCAGCTCTCCGAGAGCATGACAGGAGATGTTTATGTTTTTTTCCAGCCTCAATAATTGTGTCCTGAGGAATCTGAGCAAACACTGGGAGATCTGGGGAAAAGAAATCACATGCACCTCTCATAACAGAACCAATTTTGTCAACAGTTACCAGCCCCATCAAACTGCAGAATTCTGGATCTAACACAGGCTAGCCACATTCACCTCTAAAATAAACAACAAATATTGACTAAGCCGTAGAACAGAAAGTGCAGAGCAGGAAAAGAATGAAGATGAGTAAGGGGATTATACTGCAGCTTTAACCACATTTGTAATTTAAAGGGGTTTCAGGAGCTCGTGGGAAGTGTGTTTAATGGAAACACCACGCAAAATTTTAATCTTTTTGGACCAAGTTAAATTTTATTATTTTTTTCAAAATGTGACGTTCATTTATTTTCATCTATGTGAAAGACAAACTAACATACACAAAGCACACATACAAAGAGAGCATTCATCCAGTTCTTTACTCTCAAACTGCCCACAACAACTAGGACTGGCCCAGACAGAAGCCAGCAACTAGGAATCTCACCTGGGGTCGCAAGATGAGAGGTAGTATCCCAGGGACTTGAACCACTACCTGCTGCCTCCCAGGGCACATGAGCAGGAAGCTAGATCAGATGCAAGGCAGTCAGAACTTGAACCAGTGCCCCAATACAGGATATGGGAATCCCCCAACACAGGTTTTGCTTGCTGTACCATAATGGCCACACCAAACTTACTTTTTGATTCCATTTTCACACAAAGTTCTTCTAAAACACTCGTTTATTTTTATTTGTTTGAAATGTGTGATCACACAGAGAAGACGGTGAGGCAGAGTCATACAGCAAGATCTTCCATTTATTGATCCACATCCCAAATGGCTGCAATTGCCAGGGCTGAGCCCCACTGAAGCTCCTGGTCTCCCAGGAGCTCAGGATTACAGGCACCTAAGGATTTGGAAGACTTTCTTCTATTTTTCCCATGGACGTTACAAGTGAGGTGAAGCAAAAGAAGAGCAGGCATGGCTTAGACCAGCACCTGTTTTGGAAGCTGGCATCACAGACAGTGGCTTTACCCACTATACCACAATCCTGGCTGCTTCAGAAACTTCTTAAAATACTGCTGCAAGTATTTTAGCAGCTGAGTTTTAAATATAGGCCTTCCATTATTCTTGCTCAATAGCTCTTGCTAAGTATAAAATAACACTAATTGGTAACATCAAACTTGTTTCTGGCTAAGACATAAACATTGAATTCTTAAGGAATGTTTCCTTAAAAAGCACAAACAATCACAGTCATGGGAGTTAAGTGGCACCTCAGTGTGGTTTTCATTTGTATCTCCCTGATGGCTAGGGAGCCTGAGCATCTTTTCATTTTATCACAGGGGTTTTTGTTTGTTTGTTTGTTTTGTTTGTTTGTTTGTTTTTTTACTGTCACTGGGTTACTGAAGCTCTTTGTAAATCCTGGATATTAGTCCCCTATCACTTGTGTAATGTGCAAAAATTTTCTCCCATTCGTTGGCTGCTTCTAAACTATGTTAATTGTTTCCTTTGCTGTACAGACGCCTTTTAGTTTGATGTAGTCCCATTTGTTTATTTTGTCTTTGACTGCCTGTGCTTTTGGCATCTTTTCTAAGAAGTCTCCCTGTTCCTATGTCTTGGAGAGTGCTTCCTATACCTTCCTTTAATAGCTTGATGGTTTCTGGGTGTAGAACTAGGTCCTTCAACTATTTAGAGCTGGTTTTTGAATAATGTGACAGGTGCAGGTCTTGCTTCTTAATTCTGCAAGCTGCTATCTAGTTGTGCCAACAGCATTTGTGGATGAGAACAGACGTTTTCCCTGGATTGTTTTCAGTTTTCTTGTCGAAGATCAGTGGGCTATACATGTGTGGGCTCCCTTCTGGTGTTTCTATCTGTTCCTTTGATCTTCTCTGCTTCTCTACCAGCACTAGGCTTTTGTGTTTTCTTTTCATCACCCATGCACTGGTTATTCAGTGGCTCATTGTTTTCGATTCCATGGTGCTGTATTTTTTTTCTTCTTTTTCTTTTGACTTCACACCTGTTGTTGACCTTATTTGTGGGCTTCTCGCTGAAGGGAATGTATAGTGATGGAGTAATAGAGAGCACCGTATCCAGATGTGGAGCTACAACGCAACATGCATCCCAACTTCCAAATCAAAGATGGACTTCAAATGGAACTGTTGGACATATCTAGAAAATTGGATGCTGGATTGTCTGATATTGTCTGTATCATCAATGTTGGGACACACTTAAGTAACAAACTGATGGAATTGTAACTCCTTATGAAGGACTACACTATTGTAACAACATGGGGAAAATCAGTCAGGGGGTGGGAGTTTAGGGGCTGGGATCCAAGACTCCACCAAATTATACCATAAAAATTCAAAATTCAATATAAAAATTTAAAATAGACTTAAAAACAGAAAAATCACAACCCACATAATTAAAAATAGGCAAATTCAATAACTATTAAAAAATTAATCTCAGAAACTTTAAAAATCTCAAAAAGATACCCCCAAAGAATGAAAATCATTTTACTGGAGAGTCCTGCCCTGTGTTTGAAATAAATGATAAAAATTTAACACAATCCCTTCTTTAAAATAAAGCAAGAGATTTTTTAAATTACTTTTTAGAACTCTAATTTGAAAATTAAAGATAATGCAAAGTCAAAAATATTTTTAATCAATCTTACATATGCATACCCAAAAACATTAACAAAGTGTTGACAGGTGAAATTCACCGTCTGGAAATGTTTAGATAGAGTGGCCAGGTAAGGTTTATGCCAAGATTCAAAGCTTCTTAAATGCTCAAATTCTTTTACAATCTGAAACTTTCAGAAAAAAAAAAAAAACAAAAACAGGGACAGAAGAGAAACAATAGATTTGAAAGCAGAACACAGAGGAACAAAATCTACAGTAAGTGAAGAGGAGTAATTGCTTTCTCCTCAGACAGTGAATGAGAAGAGGTGCCTGCCTCTCCAATCTCACTCAACAAAGTGCTGGACACTTGTCAGTGCAATACAGCACACAAAGGACATAAAAGGCCAACAGATTCAACAGGAAAAAAAAATTTAAAAGCTGTTTTGCTACACAGAGAACATTATTGCCTTTAGAGAAAATATAAAAATCTTAAAAATACCTGAAATGTATTCAACAAATTCACAAGACACAAGATAAATCCAAAACAAATTAGCAAAAAAATTATGTGTGTGTGTGTGTGTGCAGTTGATGAGCAAATTCACACAGAAGTGTTAAATAATCAATAGCATTTATCATGGCTGAAAAACAAGGGATATTTAAGAAGCAACCTAAACAACACATGTGCAACATTTGCATGCTGAAAACTACAAAATATTGATGTAAGAAAAATCTTAAAAATGAATACGCACACATTCATAGATTGGAAGTTTCTAGATGGCAAAGCTTTCTTCTTGAGTAGATATACTGATTTAACACAACTTCTAATAAAATTCAGTAAAATCTTGTTCATAAATGAATACAAGATAATTCTAAAATACTTAACAAAGAATCAAGTGAGAAAGATCACTCTAGTGGATTTTCAGACTAAACACATAGCTATAAAACGTAAGACTCTATGGCTTTGAGGAAGGGGTATGTGCATATATGTCAATAGAGAAGAGTAGAGAATCTAAACCACAGTATGTCCAGTGACACTGGCGATCATACATAGTAATTCAAGGGGAAGTTTTCCACAAATAATGCCAGAAGAATTCCATAACCTTTGGCAGAAGAATACACATTGGCCTAAGTCTCACACGTGACACAAAATCAACTCAAAACAGAAAAACTTACATGCAGGAGAAATGTTTGGAATCTAACACCAAGGTTTGCTGCATAAAGGCAATTCATTGAAGAAGATTTTGATAAGCTAGACTTGATTTTGTTTTACATTCATCTGTAAAATGAGAAGACAATAAATAAACTGAAGAAAATGTATGTAAAGCATGTATATACTGAAGAAGCAATATCTACAATAAAGAGCCTGAAAATTTTGGCAATGAAAATATGACTAGCAAATACGACAAATATGACATACATGTATGACACATTCAGACATATAAATTGGTTAAACTCATCGGTGATTTACAGAAATGCATGTTGAAATTACGAGAGAAGACAGGCATTTTACTGTGACTTAAGGCCTCCCTTGCCATGCCTGTATCCCATAGGGAAGCCTATTTGAGTCCTGGCTGCTCAACTTTTCATTCAGTTCCCTGTTAGGCAACTGGAAAAGTGGTTGAAGAAAGCCATGTGCTTGGACCCTTGAAACTTATATAATAGACCCAGATGGCTTTCAAGGTCCTAGCTTTGCCCTGACCCAGCCCTGACACTTGTGTCCAGTTCAAGCTTGAACTAGCAGATGGAAATAGAAGGTTGATATTTCTGTAACTCTTCCTTTAAAATAAACAAACATATATTTTAAATATGCTACATGAAATATTACGGGGCAAAAATACCAGGGACCTTCACGGTGGGATAGCCTAGCAGCTAACATCTATGGCTTGCATACGCTGCTGTGATCCTATATGGGTACCAGTTCATGTCCTGACTGCTCCACTTCCAGCTCCTGGCTTGGGGCCTGGGAAAGCAGTAGAGGATGGCCAAAGGTCTTGGGACACTGCACCCACATGGGTGACCTGGAAGAAGCTCATGGCTCCTGGCTTCAAATCGGCATAATGGGTTGGGAAGAGTTTGAAAATTCTGTTAAAACGTTAAGTAAGTTATATCAGGTATTTGAGGAAATGGTGAAGATTTCTTTTTGGTTTCCTATACCCTATATTAAAGTGTCTGGGTTCTAGCTTGGCTTCTTCCCAAATACAGCCTTATGTTAGCATACACCTTTAGATATAGAAGATGATGGGTTAAGCACTGGGGTCTCATCACCACATGAGAAAACCAGACTGTCTCAGACTCCTGGGTTTAGCTGGTCCAATTCCTTCTGCTGTGAGCGTTTCAGACCATGTTAGTGTATCTGTTGCCATTCAAATAGAATGAAAAAAATACATGTGTGTGTGTATAAATATATTTGAATGAAT